GGGGGGGGGGGGGGGGGGAATTAGGAAGCGCTCGAACAGGGAGGGGACAACTGGTGTAAATCTAACTGTAAAAGAATAGCCTGGAATTGTTTTAGATTCAGAATCTCTCCGGGTACTCAGCCTACTTGCATGAATTACCCGTCAAAATTTATCACAATCAATCAACTCCCTATCATCACCATCGTATATGATACGGTCTGACATTCAAATGGAATCGAACTTGTTAGGTCGCTGGGAATCTACAGTTAAAAAGAGTGCAGTATACCACAGTTAAATTGGACAAAAAACGGCAAGAGCGCAGTTGAAAATGATGAAAATGCTCAAAGTTTTATTCATGAAATATCCAGTAAACGTACATGGACTTGCGATAGATTATAGCGGTTTCATAAGGAAACTATCAAATAAACGCTATAGCAGAGAAGTCATTCACATGCATGTTTATCACGTGCGTTACATCGGCATTTTTAAACAATATTTGACTGAACACTGACTGCATTCTTTTTGAAACCGATCTCAATAATCCTCATGCAAATGGACAAGCCATTTTCGAGAATGGATCCGAATTGAGAATCGAATCTTCAGCAGTTGCTGATCACTTACTTGATTCATTTCATCGATATAATATGAAAGAACAAATGAGCGATGGTAACATCACTGGAAGAATTGATTTTTTGATGGCGATTTTCAGCTAGAAAATTTGGGATTAAGGCGGCGGATATTGAACGCTGCAGCTTCGAGTTTCATTCGAGGTGCAAGAGGTTTCTCAGTGTTCTACTGTAAACTCTACTTGATTGTACATGCATTCCGAAACTTTCGGACTAAAAATNAGGTTTCTCAGTGTTCTACTGTAAACTCTACTTGATTGTACATGCATTCCGAAACTTTCGGACTAAAAATATCCAATTTTCTGGCACCGAACGAAATTCGGCCTTCACCAGCGAATATTTTGCATTTGTCTCGAAGTTTGGCGCAACGATAAGCATTGATATTGATAATGCATCGACTCCACAGGTCTTCTGAAATAGTGCAAATAAGTTTCATCTGCATATTCTGAATTACGAATTATGAATGAATAAATGCTACAAGATTGAAGCAAGACAGCCATTACGAATAAAATGACGCGCAACAATTAGTCTTGCACAAAACTATTTCTTAAAGAAAGCTGGTCATAAGCTCCCCAATATAAAGTACTTTCGGCAGATATCGTGAAATATGAGAAAATGACAAGGCATTAATGATAACAAATTGACCATCCAGCGCATGAAGTGTAGTCATCCGGAGCACAAATCTCCTTTGAAGTGTGATTTTAAACGAAATCATGCTGGATTGCAGCTATTGCAGACTATAAATAAAGCAACACTCACGAGCGAGAACGCATTTTGCAACATGTTGATACATTTTGTATGCTTTTCGAGAGTTTTGCGGCAGTGGAGCGTTCAGTTGTTTCGTGCACTCAGATTCCATTTTCAAGCAGTCAGCCTGACCATGATAGCGCTCGCACATGCCGAAGAGACCATCTGAAAAGAATCGCTCGCATTCATATGAGAAGGAAATGTTTCCAAATCTTGTAACAAGTGGTGACTGTCTGCTTGGTATCGATCACCTTGCCCTCCTAATCAAACATCTAATCCAAAGGTATCACAGGAGAGGGAAATTACCCATTTTAGGGTAATTTGAGGATGTCAGGGATGATGGAGGGGTTGGGAAATTAGTTTTCACGTTATGTGTGGGAATAGTAAATTATTGTAGCGGTTGAGGGGGGGAGGGGGAGGGGAGGGGAGGGTAATGACGGCCTGTCAGACCAACGAAGAGGGTAGTGAATCACCAGAGCGTGAGGACACTGCTCTAATGCAAGGCTCAAGTAGATAAACCCAAGTTTATGAATGACTGAGCTGGATTTTAGGCAGTTGCTGATCGGCTAACACGGATATTCTGGCGA